TTGTGCATTAGATTTCATATAGATTATTTTGCCCTGCTCTCAAGCTTCGTACTCAATGCCTCGCAGGGAAAGTTATTCTTGAGTCAGTTATCTTAACAGCTGCTGTGGTTGTTAGTCTCACTTTATACACGTTTTGGGCTGCAAAGAGAGGTCACGATTTCAATTTTCTGGGGCCATTTTTATATGGAGCTCTTGTTGTACTTGTGCTGTTCGCGCTGATTCAGGTTTGTGGATACACATTTCCATCTTTTTGATCCATCTTCAATTATCAAGTTCTTTTGGCCCTCTAATTGGGTACTGATTGTCTTGTCTATATATTTCAGATTCTGTTTCCTCTGGGGAGAATATCCGTGATGATTTATGGCGGCCTGGCATCAATAGTATTCTGTGGTTACATCATTTATGACACTGATAATCTGATCAAGCGATACACCTATGATGAATACATTTGGGCTGCAGTTGCACTGTATCTAGATATCATCAACCTCTTCCTCTCTCTGTTGACGCTTTTCAGAGCTTCCGAAAGTTAAGAGAATTGATAGTGATCCCAAATATTAATATGTTTTTCTGTTTCATAACTTGCCAACCTTTATGGATATTGTCATGCAGAATGAGTTAGGAAATGAAGTAAATATTGCTTAGTTTATACTGCCTTGAGATTTGAGATTCTATTCAATTGTATTTCCTGCTCTATTTATGATATATAAATTTGCAAGCTGTGTACACTGACAACACTCCTCCCTCTTCCCTAGTTTACTTTAACAATTCCTTNTCTAGGCCTGGTTAGCTTGGCTGGTGGTCCATACAGGTCTGTTTGAAGGGTGGAACCAGCACCCAATGAGCCCTTGTGGCCGCCCGTGCTGGCTCCTCTAGAAAATTTTATTCCCTTATATTGGATGGCCGCTCGAGCGGCAGCCTGTTCTTACCTGGATCCTTGGATCCGTCACTAGACTTTGTGTCTTTATTTGAGAGAAAACAGAACAGATATTCTTTATTTGAAAAAAAAATAAAAATTGAAAAGATAGCAAAGGCTCAACCAAAAAAGTTGTAGAGTATTCGTCATGAACCAAATGCAGAGTCAATATACCCACCGTAATCGAACCAAAGTTGCAATAAAGAGAAGCTTAGAAGGTAAGCACTCGTTCACTTAACCAGCAGTAGCTGAAAGCGTATGAACAGGCACTGCGCTAGTGAATTTTCTCTAACCGAGTTGGCATCAGATTATCGTGCTGATCGCAAATCAAGAAATTTCGAGAATGCTCTATACTGGCGTGTTATATTGAGCTCATCTGATGGTCGAGCAGGAACTTATAGCAACATCACACATGCTCTTAAAATGGATGGAATGGACGTCACAATATTTTGCTACACGTATACGGCTCAGTGGGATTCTTATATTTTTATCCATAAATAATTTGGCATATTTGACGACTGTGCATAAGCCAAAGACAGTCATGTGCAGTGTGGGCCAATCTTTGATACCAATTCATCCCGTGACACTTGGATTTTTCTTCTACACGCGCAATTGATTTTATTAACCACTGCAAATAAGCAATACTTATCTTATTCTTAAAGCAAATTCAGAATTCTTGGTCTGCAATTATTATATATATGATTACATTATATCGATTGTTCGATTGAGTTTTGGTCTGCAATTTTCCAAAACAGTCATCTTTTATTGATTTTTTGTGCCAAAAAATGGCCAAAATTCCTGTATTCTTGATTGTTATCCTGGTGTTGTATTGCTGGGAGGCTATAGGAAATGCAGAATACACGATTTATAAAGATTCTAACCGGCCATTGAATCGCAGAATCAAGGACCTGATGAGCAGGATGAGCTTAGAAGAAAAAATAGGCCAAATGACTCAAATCGAACGGTCCGTGGCATCAGCTGAAGTCATGAAGAAATACTATATAGGTATCTACAAATATTCATAGTTTATGGGCATGAGTCTGTTTCTGAATGGATACCAAATGAGATTTTGCTAAGTTTATTTTAATTTCGACTAATTTTTGGTTGTTCGAATAGGGAGTGTGTTGAGTGGAGGAGGTAGCGTTCCAGCTCAACAGGCCTCTCCCGAGACGTGGGTCGACATGGTGAATGAATTCCAGAAGGGTTCTTTATCGACTCGTCTTGGAATACCGATGATTTATGGGATTGACGCACTTCATGGACACAACAACGCCTATAATGCTACAATTTTCCCCCACAATATTGGTCTTGGAGCTACAAGGCAAGTAGAGATGCAGTTATAAGCTGATTTTTATTCAGTCTCCCTAATATTCCTATGAGACACAAGTGTTTTAGTGGCCGTTTTATGTGAATAACACATAGACCCTGTTTGGTTTAGATAAAAATCAGATATTTATTAGTAAATTTTGATAAAATTTGATGAAATGTATGGTTAAAAAGTGGATAAAAATGATGAATTTTATGATATAATGGTCCGTTTCTTGTTCTTCTCCTTATTCTCCCATGTAGTGTGTGGTTGAAAATGAATTTGAAGAAAAATGAGCTTTAGAAAACGATTACCAAATAGGGGCATAGTCAAAACACAGGCGAGCTATTTTGCTCATTTTCTGATTTTCTGTTTGCAGTAGGGATTAGAGTTTAACCCGTAACACTATCATTTTACGCGAATATGTTTTCATTTGAATAGGGATCCTCAGCTGGTGAAGAAGATTGGAGCTGCTACTGCTCTTGAAATCAGAGCAACAGGCATTCCTTATACTTTTGCACCTTGCATTGCAGTAATTAGTCTGATCTGAATGTATTTACTATAATCTGTAATAAAGATAAAATAAATCATTATTACTAATTAACAATTGATCGATTAATAGGTATGTAGAGATCCAAGATGGGGCCGTTGTTATGAAAGTTATAGTGAAGATCCAAAGATAGTTCGGGCAATGACCGAGATTGTACCAGGATTACAAGGAGACATTCCTTCTAATTCTCGAAAAGGCATTCCTTATGTTGACGGAAAGTAAGTTTTCGATAATGTAAATCTATCTTTCAGTGATTTTTGACAAAATAAATCTAGTTCTGGAAAATCTACAATTTTAAACACAAGGACAAGCACTACATACAAGCATGATCTCAATCAATAATTTTCTTTGGAATATACCTAGTGAACTTTTTGAATTTTGGTATCTTTAACTTAGTCAAGATTTGTCACAATGTGCCGGCCTAGACCGTGGACCCCTCTATAGCCTAGTCGTGCCCACGGCCCATGACCTGAATGGCAAAAGATAGCTTGGTCTGATCCGATTTACACTTCTGACCCAATCTAACACTTGGGACTGAATCTATTTGAGTTGAATTTTAACACAGAGAAAAGGTTGTAGCTTGTGCGAAGCACTATGTGGGTGATGGTGGTACAACCAAGGGCATCAATGCGAACAATACCGTGACGAGCAAACACGAATTACTTAGTATCCATATGCCAGCCTACTATAATTCTATCATTAAGGGCGTGTCAACAGTCATGGTCTCATACTCGAGCTGGAATGGAGTAAAAATGCATGCTAATCGTGACCTTGTCACTGGGTTTCTTAAGAATACACTACGTTTCAGAGTAAACCGAATTTTCGATATGTACATTTTTAAGTATTTGACCAATTGAATTAGAACCCTAAGATCAATTTTCTGCTGGCGTCGTATTGTTGCAGGGATTTGTTATATCTGATATGGAGGGCATTGACCTAATGACTTCTCCATCTCATGCAAACTATACCTATTCAATTCTAGCTGGAGTCAATGCTGGCATCGACATGGTTTATATATGCTCTTAAGAATACACAACGTTTCAAAGTAAATCTGATTTTTGATATAAATTAATTCTTAAGCATTCATATTGATATTGTAAATTGCAGATAATGGTTCCATACAATTACACAGAATTCATTGATGGTCTAACCATGTTGGTGAAAAATAATTTCATACCCATGACCCGAATTGACGATGCAGTGAAGAGGATTTTAAGAGTTAAATTCACAGTGGGTCTATTTGAGAACCCATTGGCTGATTATAGCATGGCTAAGTACCTAGGATGTCAGGTCAGTTTTAAATTTATTGAAAAATCCTCTGTTTTATGGCAAAGTTTAATTAGTTGATCAACTTGTGTAATTTTAAAAGGAGCATAGAGAATTAGCAAGAGAAGCAGTGAGAAAATCACTTGTTTTGCTTAAAAATGGTCGATTGGCCGACGAGGAATTGATACCACTTTCGAGAAAGGCGTCGAAGATACTTGTGGCCGGAACTCATGCGGACAATATTGGTAATCAGTGTGGCGGGTGGACGATTCAATGGCAAGGACAAAGTGGTAACATTACACATGGTAATTAGCATAGAGTATTTGCTTTTATAGGTACTATAATACATACTGTCTGTTTTGAAAGATCCTCTGCTCATCTTACTCCTCATGAGTTTCTATCTTGTCTCCCAAAATTTAACTTTAATATCTCTGTCTTATGGGTACTTAAGTTGAATCATGACACTTGTTTCTCAAATTGGATATTACATATTATATAATGACTTGAGCACGGAGACTTGAGTCGTTACACTAACTCTATCAATAGAGTCTATTTTATGTCTCGATTATATAGAGTTCGTAGCTTCTTTTCATAACGTCGTAAATTGTAGAATCCGAAATTGACTTTAGCTATGTAGTTTCAATATCTAAATGATTTTTTTTACACTAACAGGTACAACGATCCTTGCTGCCATAAAGAATACCGTCGACCCTAAAACAGAAGTAATGTTCAGTGAGAATCCAGATACTGGATATATAAAGTCGAACAACTTCTCCTACGCCATTGTCGTGGTGGGTGAACCACCGTACGCAGAGACAGACGGCGATAACTTAAACTTGACAATTCCTGATCCAGGCCCGAGTGTCATTACGAATGTGTGTGGCTCAGTGAAATGTGTTGTCGTTCTTATAACAGGCCGTCCAGTCGTCATTCAACCATATCTTGCTCAAATTGATGCTCTGGTAGCTGCTTGGCTTCCAGGAACTGAAGGTCAAGGAGTTGCTGATGTTTTATTTGGTGACTATGGTTTTACAGGAAAGCTTCCTCGTACATGGTTCAAGAATGTTGATCAGCTTCCAATGAATGTTGGAGATTTGCATTATGATCCATTATTCCCATTTGGATATGGATTAACCACAGAACCCTTAAAGGCTAATTAATTGAATCCACATAGATTTGAAGATTTAGATTGAGACAATTGAATGTTAGTTACACATTTGTTGGGATAAATGTCTCCTCCACCAACTGGGATCTTGAGTTGCTATTTGATAAAAAATAAAACAAATATTTATGGTTTTTTTTTTTATTAACAGAGAAGTAGCTTTTTATTCAATCAAGTCATCACGAGTACACGACGAAGCTAGCAGATTCAGATTGGACTTTGTGGGAAAGGCATGATTAAAACTCTCTGAAATGTAAAATCTCTGAATCAACCTCTAACTATTAGAAATCTATGATTTCGTCCTCCAACTATGTGAAACTTCTAAATTGACCCTTCACTGTGTAAAACATCTAAACTGATCCACCAATCCAACTATGTAAAATCTATGCATTGGTCCTCATAGTATGTTAAACTCCGAAATGATCCTCCCGACTATTCGAATTATATGATTTAGTCCTCCAACTATGTGAAACATCTAATTCCGTCAACTATGTAAACCATCTAATTAGATCCTTCAACTACATAAAACATCTAAACTGATCCTCCAACTATATAAAAACTCTGAATTCATCCTTCGTCCATTTGAAATCTATGATGTGGTCCTCAAACTATTCGAAATCTCTGATATGATACTCTAACTATATGTAACATCTAAATTCATCTTTCAGCTATGTTAAACATCTAAAGTGATCCTCCAACTATTTTAAAACTCTGATTTTGTCCTCCAACTATTCGAAATCTATTATATGGTCCCCCAACTAGGCAAAATCTTGAATTTGATCCTCCAACTTTCGAAACTTCTTAATTGATCCTTCACATATTTGAAACCTCTAAATATGCCCATTAAATTGGTGGTAGAATTAAATATGCTCACCAACTGTTTGATGAGAGTACGAAGAGATCTGGAACACATTGATGGGTGATGTAGTTATTGATTAGTCTAGGAGATTACATTGGGATGTTATTGATGTGTCTATAATATACATGTTGTCATTGGTGAAATAGGAAATGCTTTCAGAAAGGAGTGTCTCCATGGATTTGAGTTAAGATTGGATTTGAACCACTAGTCGTTCTACATACATTTTTTGGTAGCATCGATCTCGTTGATCCAAATTAAATTTTATAATCTTTATTTTATAAGAGAGACTATAACGTTATCAAGTACTAATGAATAGAGGTATGGGCATGTTGGCTAAACTAATATTGTGCTTATAAGAAAGTACGTTTTAAATTTAGCTAAACTTGTTCACTCCCACTTCCTAGAACGATTGGTCGACCTTCGGCTCCTGGTAGCCTAACCTCTACTGTAGAGATAGTTAAAGAACAAATGAGGAATATCGGGTGCAAGGGTTGGGGTTGGGGTTGGGGTTGGGGTTGGAAAGAGGTAGAGAGTGTGATGGTCCGACCATTGGGAGAGTATAATATAGGTAAAATTGATAGTTTATAAATCGTAGATGACAAACTGAATAATTAATTTTGCTTTTAAGGGTATGGTTGAAGATAGAAAATGACGTCTAACAATTCTAAAAAGGGTAAAATGTTGAAAGCCAATTAATAACTTAATAAAGATAAAGGCAAAAGAAGAAGGGGTAAGAGAAATGGAAAAGGCAATACCAAAACATTGACTTGATGAACACACTCGACCACATGAGCCTCGATAGGACGATTCTTTTGATCTGAATGCGTATCAAGGAATGAAAAAGGAAAAAGATTTGGTTTGAAGGGGGTCCAACTATGTCATACATTTTTGGCTTTTTCTTATTGTTTTTAATTTGATAAGGAATCTGAATATAAAATGTCATATAGCACAAAGTTTTAGTAAGTCATCTTGAACTTTAACTTTATAAATTCAACTTCAATTTGAATATACAATATCGTAAAAATTATACTTAAGTCTATGTTTGTATAGAAAATTAAACAAATTTATGTTGAAAAATGTAACTTGAATAATTTACGATTTGTTTTTGCTAAACGTTATCTTAGAACTATGTCCCTTTGTCCATGTTAGTTTAATTAATAAAAATCTCGCAATCTAGTTAACACGAAGGGTGTTTGGTTCATGGGATTGACAAAATTGGACGATTGAGGAATAAGATTTTAACTTATTTTGTTTATATAACACCGTTGAGTACTATCTAATCTTGTATATTATGTACCTCTTTGGTTTAGTTAATATTTCATGACCCCCTAGCATTTATCAATTATTCAACTACACATAATTAACTATTAAGGTTATCTCTTAAAAACGTGATTTTTAGCAATATCTAATAGAGGTTATATCATCTGCTTTCGAAAGAAATCGAAAAATTTCTTGAAAATCCTACAAGATTCGTTTGTTCTTTTTCTCCGATAGATAGTTAGAACTTCATGTGGGTTTGAATCTCAAAACGGATACTATCAAACCGAATGAATTCAATAATAGAAGCATGTTGGCATTCCGATAAAAATTATTGTTGAAGAAGAAACACAAACAAAAACACAGAATCTTAGGTAGACACCAGATACTTGAGAAGACATGCAAACCTATATATGAGGATGAAGCCATCAAGAATCACTTTAACAAAGGGCAAAACATGTGGCTACCGGCCAATTGTGATAGAAGAACGCATGTTTTATGGGCTATGATTGTTGGGACACTCTGATATGGGTAGAAGCATTCTTGATGCTCATTTGCAGAAAGTCCAATTGAATATATCTGCTACTGCGGACCACCATTCTCTTATTGACATCTTTATTAGTTAAGTGGTTCTGTCCACTTCTACTGAAAAGTTGATTGAATTTGACGAAAAGTAAAGAACATAGAAAAATGAGAATTTTAAGATGGATATGTGGTCGTACTAAATGAGTGGAATGAGAAATATAAAGCAATTTAAGTGTACCCTTTTAATGGTAATTTAGAGAAACAATTTAGATAGTTGATACATGTTTTATGTAGATCCAAATGGAATTTCATTGTAAAGAGATTCTAATGAAATAACGAGTTCCATGAAATGTATTAATGAATGTGTGGTTAAAAATTAAGAGAAAGTATCAAAGGCATTACTTTCGCCCTGTTTGAGCCACATTAATTTCTTCTAATGTATTATAAAATATTAAATTGATGGAAAATATATGGTTAAAGGAAAATGCCGAAGTACCCGAATTTTGGTGACCGACCCTCACATGGAGCATGGACCTCCGCATGAATAAAATAATGTCCGACCCTCGAGGTGTGAGTGTACGGTCATCCTGCATGTCAACCATTATGTTTGTGTAGTATGGTCCATGGTTAAAAATGAAAAAAATTGATTTGCGTGTAATATTATTTTAATGAAAAATGTGTAACCGAAAATGAGTACTGTAGAAAAAATAATGAGAAAAAATGGGGCTCAAACATGGACTTAATCTTTCTGAAAATATCAGAAATAACAGTTTGCGTTTCAAAAATATTACTAACATCTCATTTCTAATTTTGAATATGAATTTTTAATACCTAAATTGTCTTTAAGAACAATAAAAACTTCATTCTATCTATGCAGTAATATGGCCCTTTCATTTAAAAGTCATAGTCTATATCGAAAGCAATTACATCAAGTGACAAACTTAAACATCCATTATATTATGCTCGTAAATGCATATGTTTTTTCATTCTTTCACTTTTACAATAGAAATTACAAATTTTTTTTGTCCCGACTTACCTGAATTGCCCCACCCCTAATGTTACAGGAGGCAGGGATGAAGAACATGACATCTCCCTAGAAGTTTCCGAACCCACTCCGAATCTCTCTCTCTCTTTTGTTTTTTTTAACCATTTAAATCATATTTTAAAAAATAATTAATTAAGCTTAATGAAATGGATGGTAAAGTTTACGAATTAGTATAATTAGTTTCAACAATAGACCGAGACGATTTTATGGAAGGGTTTAAATAATGCATAAATGACATGAAGTTTTAAATATTACAACAGTCTAAGTATCAACAATTTATACTTAGATCGATGATTGGCGTACAGGGAATTTTCACAAGGGCTTCACAGATCACAAACTAGAAACACGAGATGTTAGTAATATTTTTAAAACGTGAGGGATGTGTCTTTGACGTGGTTAGAAACGTGAGAGTCTATGATAATATCTATAAATTAAAGTTTAACTTTGATTAAAAATAATAAGTCACTTCTAATGAAACCTAAACACAAACAAAATATCGGTTATGAAGGTAGGTAAAAGTTTAGCTCACGATGTAGAAAAAACTTAGATTTTTAGTAGATTTTGATAAAAGTTAAAAAAATGTATGGTTAAAAAGTTCATAAAAGTTGTTGATCCCATAAAATGTGCATTTGATAATAAATTTGGGGAAAAATAAATTTAAAAACAAAAGGGATCAAACAAGAATTTAGTTATTTTTTATACTTCTAACCAAACATCGAACCAAAAATATCATAATGAAAAAAGTTTAGCCACCGTTTGATTCTCATTATTTCAAAATTCATTTTCAACCACACATTTTCATAATAAAATATTTTGCATGTAAACTCAAAACTTTTTCCTATTTCTTATCTACATATTTTCCAAAAATTCACTATTACAAAACTCATTTTGATGAAATAATGGGCATCGAATAGACGCTTAGTTTATGGTCAGTGTCATTTTGCCCATTATTCATCTCAATTGGAATCTCATTCATGGGGTGTCAGTTAAGAGTCGGCAAAAAAATCGGAGAAGTGGGAGCTTCTGAAAAAGAAATTATGAAGTGTATATATTTGGTAAACAAAATTTGGCTAATAAGTGCAATTTAGATCAACAATGAGAAAAAGGTGCAAGAATCATCTATTTCAGTTCAATGTACCCAAATCTTTTACAAGTCAGAATATTATTTTTTTCTCAGGAAAACTTAAGGGGGTGTTCTTTTTGTGTTTCAGTTTTGTGTTTTGAGTTTTAAATTCATTTTGAGTTTTTTGTTTTGAGTGTTTGTTTTGAAATTGTTGAAAATGCGTTCTTTTTGTTAGTTTCTCAAAACAAAAAAATGAATTTTTTTTTTTGAAATTTTGAGAATCACCACAAGATCACCTCAAAAAAAAAAAAAAAAAAAAAAATTTACCCTAAAAATGAGCTCTATTGGAATCTCATTCATGGGGTGTCAGTTAAGAGTCGGCAAAAAAAT